CTCTACTCTTCCCTGATGGATCCATGCCTTCTAGCTGCTTCCGGCGAAGCAGCGAGTTCATGAGCAAATGAATGAACAAGCAGCAGGTGATGGATCCATGTCTTTGGAATATTTTTATACCAAATCTATCTGAGTGCATGCCCTCTATTTTGTATTTCATCCAAACATCAATTAGACGTATGGAAGGCTGATGTTACGACAAAAACATAAATCAAACAACAAAAATTTGACAACATACCACACAATTAAAAGAATCGATGAGCCTAACATGAAGCTAGCAACTTACATAATTTTTAAGAGAAGCAAATACTCTTGTACAACGAGTAAAAAAATACAAAATGCAATTCATTGGTCTTTGATATGGACAATAGTGTATTGCTACTTGATTCCAGTTTGATATTTCTTACCATGGGCAACGCTTGCAATTGAAAATTTGGTCTCTTTCTTCTGATTGTTGCTCCACTCGGATGATCGTTTGTTCGCAACACATCAAAAATTATGTCGGTAAGAATTAACATTAAAAACAGTACAAAGATTAGATGAGTCGACCAAACTGATCAAAAAAGGAAGTCCAAGCAAAAGATTAGAGGAGTGGACTGACCAAAAATTCAAGGCACCCTGAAGGAGGATAGTCGGGCATGCCCATGATTTTGCTCGCAACACATCAGCCATGCTTGAACCCATCTTCTTGGCAGGCACATCAGACTCGGCGGAGGCGACTCTATCTGGCGCATATTCCAGTACAGTAAACCCTCCGTCACCATTATAAGATATTTCAATATGGACTACATACATACCGAATGAGTGAGCAAGCACATTAAAATGCGTCTATATACATCCGAATCAGAAAAACGTTAGAACATCTTATAATTCTGAACATAAGGGGTTCTTTAATTAGTAATCTTGTGCAAAGCAAATGAAAAAATAATAGAAATATGACACTAAACATTGTTCTCTAAATTGAATTAAATTCAAAGCAATACCATCCAATTTATTGTTCCCCACCTTGAACAAATTGTAATTTACATCTAAACCTTTTGAAGAAGGAATAAAAATAATGCACACGTTCAATTTACTTTCTCGTCCTTTAGGAAACATGTTCTCTAATAAATGACTACTGCCTGCATTAGGTGAATCGACAAAACATGGTGCACAAAAATCTCATAACTGGTCAGTTGAGAAGTGCAATCATTTTCTTGCCAAGCAGCTTCGGAGAACTACCATGAAATTCTACCCTCAGAACGCATGATGGAGAAGAGTAAATTCATCAGAACTCCTACCTAGATAAAATCAGAAATTTGAGCGACAAAACGGGCATGGAGAAAAATATTCCAACGACTGCGGACAATTGATCAGAAGGCCCCTACATTGGTCAGACCGAGGTCTCGGCAGTGCACAGATTACCGTCCAGGAAAATAGCAGCAACACACTAAGGACAATGACAGTCAAGAATGGCATCTTCTTCGGCCATACGGTGGTCCATACTCTCTGAAATCCTGTAAGAACAAGGCACCCTGAAGGAGAAAACTAAATAGTCAGTACAAAAAAGGTCTCTATATCATAAACTCTGTACATCCAAATCGCTACGGAGATACTCCTCGACTACTCCCGCAAGGACGTCCGGCATGCTGCACCTCTTACTTCTAAACACAAGAAGAACTCAACACATGTATGTGCTGAATGAAAAGATCCTCACGGAAAGTTAAAATATTCATCAAGGTTTACCTGTTACTACATCCTTCTTAAATGTCAGTCCTTGCATAGAATCTCTGCGTTCTAACAACATTGTATCATGCAGAAATCACATTCTTCATGAAAGACACCCCTCACAATAGAAAATCCATGTCATAGCAAAAATTACAGGTTACCTTTGATGAGAATATACTAATGGTAATATCGGGCATCATTGTCATCACAGTTCAAAGCCTTTACCGTCATTCCTCATATTGTGCAGCATCTCCTATGATTCTGCTTCCAGCTCTCCATTCGCTCCTTCCACGCAATACAACAATGACCATATGCAGCAAGACCCTTTGACAGATCCATAGACTTTGGTTACACTGCAAGAAAACAATGTCTACATTCTGAATTCCACATAAGTGCTAAAAAAATAGCAGGGCAGAATGAAAGTTTTCTAGGCTTTTACTCATTGCATTTATGCAACTGTTTTCTCTCTCTATAGAATGTAGGATACACACACAGATATAAGATGCAAATGCACTTCCAAGATATATTTATGTATCGGAGGCAGTAAATGTAGAACTTTGATATTTTGTACTGCATATGACAATAAAAAAAATAAGCCACGATGAATCAACTCAAATAATTGCACAGAATCATCTTCATTATTGTTCACAGGGGAGACACAAAATAGAAAGCCTTTAATCAAAATTTGGTAGTCAACAACCATTGCACAAATTTCAGTTTTACAAAGTACAATAGTTCATTTTGCATAAAGCAAGATGGCAACATTCTAGAAATAGAGAGATGTCCGTGTTCATCAGTACAGTTCACATAACTTTTTCAGCTTGCAGCTACATTCTTTTGATACTTTCGTGGGCACTAAAATCTAAGAACAGTTGGATTGAAGGGCAAGCCTACTCGATCCTCTAATTCCCCCCAAGACTAAATTTTGCAAACATTACTGACATAAGTGAATCAGCTTCCACCTAATAAGATCAGTTTTAAACCCATTAAACAGGTCTACAAATGGAAAGGGTATGAGCAATTGAACATACGCCAAAGAAGATGGGACCCTCGCAATTGCTCAACATCACGTAATAAGATCAGTTTTAAACCCATTAAATAGATCTACAAACATTAGTTAAGAAGAAGAAGAGTAGTAACAATTTTGCATGGATCACATCACACTTCGGAAAGAAAAATCAAATGGAATTCCCATCTCAATTGCTCAACATCACCTGTAACACGTACGTGCAACTTGAAAGGCAGCAGACTTTTCTACAACATCACCTGTAACAGTCGTGTATGCAACTATGCACCCCAATTCTACTAAGAATGCCCTCCATATAAAGGTTTTGACCAACGCAAATTCAGAACACTACCTGCCATTTCGTGGGTTCGAGTTAAGATTTTATTTTGTTTTGTCTTCTTCACGCAGATGGCATAGAAATCACATTCTTGCTTTAAAAAAATCCTAGGTGGAAAAAAATAGCTACAAAAAATGGAAGAAATATGAGGAAGATATATTGTCTACAAAAAATCCTGAATCCACAACTACTGACATGAGGAGTAAACCATACTCACATCAAGGATGTAATCCAAGAACGATATCCCTATGCTGTAGTTTGCAACACCAGTGCCGTCCAGGTTGATCTTGACCTCTCCTAGCCTAGACGATACTGAAAATATTGAACAATAAGAGATAGCTAGTAGAGAAGCTGAGCAAAGGCTAGTTCGTCGACCATAACAGATGTACAAACCACATGCACGAAGCAGCATGTACAGACTCACGACTCACGAAGCAGTATAGCAAATCACCTGTGGAGTCCTCGGGTGCCATCGGGGAGTCGTTCCTGCCGACGCTGGTGGCAGCCATGATAGGCGACCTCAGGCGAAGCGATGGTCCGTATGGCCGCGCGGAGAACGTGACCGCGCTCTGCACTGGTCGGCGGCGTCTGCGGCGTCCGCGGGGATCGGTGACGGCGGCGGCGTCAACGTCGTCCATTGGGGTCCGGCGACGGCTGAGGCGTCCGCGGGGATCGGTGGCGGCGGCGGCGTCCACGTCGTCCATTGGGGTCCGGCGACGGCTGAGGCGTCCGCGGGGATCGGTGGCGGCGGCAGCGTCAATTGTTCAGTTTTCGTAAACCATATATTCTCAATTAATTCTCTGCTGCAGAGACGATTCTGCTAACTGATAGTGCTATGTTCATTTAGTAATTGTAGAATGTAGAGTCCATATCAATATGTACAGGATATAATTGTAAATAACTTTAGAAATTGTTGTTCCAACTAAACTTAGATGCAATCAAGCTCAAATGAACTTACAACCTAAACAATACTCCCTCTGCAGAAAGATACATGTCATGCTAGCTTTCAAATTTATGCAAAAATACATGTCATTCTACTATTTCGAGATAACGTTGCACTGCTTATGCCTTTACATATATCTCTATCATGCATAGCATATGGACGTCACGGAACAACTGGACTCATGATCGCGAAGGGTACAACCCTGTACAAGCGTTGAAGTGGGTTCATGAGACTTTGGCGATCCTGGAACTACCTTCTTTGGGAAGGAAAACGAGGGCGGATCAGTGCTGGAAACCACCTGAGGCGGGCTGGGTTACTATCAACACTGATGGCGCTATTAATACCGAGGAAATGAGGGGGGGAGCGGGAGGTGTAGCTAGATCACACATCGCGTTCCTTGGTGCTTGGTGCAAACCTCCGTTTGGCATATCAGACCCCTTCATTGCGGAGTTGCTTGCTCTCCGGGACGGCATGATCTTTGCGCAACTCCGGGGTTTTTCACATGTGATCATGGAGATTGACTGCTTGAAGCTAGTTGATCTATGGCATTCACGCGGCAACACCAGATCAGTTGTAGCGCCTATCTTGAGTGAACTGGAGGAAATTGGTGCTTCTTTTGCTTCGTTATCTATTAGGCATGTCAGCAGGGAAGCTAATGCATCGGCGCATCAGTGTGCCCGCCTAGCTAGCACACTGGATAGCACTGAGAGTTGGCTTGATGTAAGCCCTGTTTTTTTAGTCTCTTGCCTACGGGCGGATTGTAACACTATGATTATAAATTAATAAAGTTCTTGAGTTCGATGCAAAAAAAAAATCTCTATCTGGATAATTCTAATGCCAAATGTTCCACGCTGCTCAAGAGTTGAGTATAACCTAATAAGAGGGGCAATGCGGTCTCTGTATCTTGGTTGGTGCGCAAATTTCTACAGCATTCATGATCCAATATACTTCTTACGTAGACTATAAAATATGTGTATAAAAGGGAAATCTCTATCATTCTGCTGTTTTTAATACAGAAAGCATGTACTCCCGTCTTCAAAGGCAAAACAGAAATAAGAATGAGAAGACAAAGAGATGGTTGAATGTAGTGCCAGTAGCATTTTCAAGAGTGCATGAGTGCCAATATGTGCAAGAGCACTTTTAACTCGTTCCTCTCCATCGTGGTCATCCACATAGTGTGAGCCACTCTCCCCAAGCTCGTAAGTCTCGACCAAGACAGCAGGATGAACAAATGGATAAAGAGGTTTCAAAAATGACACATCTTTCCACCTGCGGAAGTTGTAGATAATCCGGCTCAAATGAGCAGCTTCCCTTGCAAGGTCAACTTGAGACATCATGAAGACAGCAAACTGTTGCACACTCTCATCTAGCCGTAGCCAATTTAACGCTGGAATACATCTTGAAGCTTTAGCTACAGCATTAATTATACTGAAATCTCTCCGTATTGAGTCTCCTACACCAGGATGTCTTACTTTAACTGCGACTGTTATAATCTTTGGCGTCTTTTGGCCAGGATGTCGGAATTTCAAAGCAGCCCGATGCACTTGAGCAACACTTCCAGATGCTACAGGTTCTTCTTCAAATTTCTCAAAAATTTCAGATATATTTCGACCAAAAGCCTTCTCAACAGTTTTCTTGGTATATGCATAGCTGTGAGCTGGTGCTTTTGTGTGTAGCTTTGACAACTCGGTACACAGGTCGTTTGCAAATAGATCAGGACGTGTCGCCACCCACTGGCCCCATTTAATAAATGCAGGACCTGCCTTCTCCAAAGTACGATGCACAAGACGGAGCCATGTTTTCCTATACTTACTGCCAAGAGTATCCTTAAATGGTGCCATCAGTATACTGGGAGTAAACAAGACCAGATATATTGATCTGAGGATTATGATAACCATCTCTACTACTGAGAATATCAATGTGGTGACATAAATACGGCTGTCCTGAGCTCGCGAGTAAATATTCTCTCGTATTGGGAGGTACTCGCCATCTGCAAAGCTCTTCTCACCTAGCATCAACTTTACAGCTACAAAAGCGACGAGGTAAGGAACTAACTTATATCTAGTGGCAGTCAGGGTAACGGCACAAGCAGCTCTACTTAAAAGCGGAGATGCTTTTGATACAGCAGAACCCGTTGACATGAGCTGCTTCCAAGCAAATTGTGGAGATGCTTTGGTACTCGAGCACCCATTGCCATGAGTTGCTTCCAAGCAAGCTGGCCATGAAATGCATTCCGTCTACATGACGAGAGAACAGAAACGTTTCTGGCACCAGGGCTCCAGTATAGGCTCTACTTTGCTCGCCCGAGCATGTGCGAGGTGCCCGGTCCATTGTGAACTCCCTGGTGCAAGAATGCCCTGCTCTCATAGGCCAAACCGGCCGCAAAGCTCGGCCCAATGTTCTGCGCAACCTGAATTGCCGGGCTTCGAGTTGACCAATACAGCCTGAACAATTTTTCTGCCGCTCTTCCCTAATTGCAGAAACCTGGGAGCAACAGGAAAGCCATGTCCGCTTCAGAATTTGGGCGAATCGAACCAGAATCCTAAATAACACAGCGATAAGCACCAACTGAATAAGATATTGCAGGCGGGCGGCGGTGGCTGACCTCGACATCACGATGATCTCCTCCAGAGGGCGCCTCGAGGGCGGCAGGGAACCCTGCTCCGGCGAATCAAGGGAACCTGGTGGCACGACACACGCTCATTGAGAATTTGGATTCGGCGGGACGAATGGACTCGCGGGGGAGCGAGGAGATCAAATCGAAGGCACGTGTGCAGAGGTGGGGCGCTTACCGACGTGGTGGAACCGTTGGACGGCGCGGGGAGGATCACCATGGCGAGGGCAGGGAAACCCTAGAGGCGGCCATGATCGGCGGCGACGGCTGAGGCGTCCGCGGGGATCGGTGGCGGCGGCGGCGTCAACGTCGTCCATTGGGGTCCGGCGGCGGCTGCGGCGGTTGGAGACGGGGAGATGACCTAGGGATAGCTAGGGATTGAGGGAGCGAGCAGGTAGGTGGATCGGGAGGAGCGGTGGTTCGTGCAGGATGGTTCAGGTCAGGACGAATCGCTGGTTTTTTTTGTAGGTTTTTTTTTCGTAGAGTTTTTTTCTAAGCATTTTTCCCAAGATGGACCGAGTGGGAGGTGGGAATCGACAGTGTGGGCATCGTTTTTTTTTGTTTGGGCGCTGGAATCCAGGGATCGCTGATAGGTTGGAGGTGGGAATGAGGACGAAAAAAAATCAAGAAAGGTGGGACAAAAATTAACCGACGGAGACTACCAACTGCTCCATTAGAAGTAGAGACTATGTTGTCTATATCCATAATATATTGAAGAAATTCATTGTGGATAAATCTTATCCATTCATAACTCTCATGGTAGTTCATTCTCTAGACGTAGAGAAAGATCAATTTAGACCAGAAGATGATGGAAATGAGATATTAGGACTCAACGTTCCATAATGCCATTGGATCCACCAAACACAATTGGTTGGTACTCAAGAATATCCTTCGATATCTCCAAGGCATCAAACATCTTGCCCTGGTTTTTCAGTTTCACAGAAATATGAACACCAATATCATTGGATACATCGATCAGATTCCCACTATGTCAGATCATAGACAAGCTTAGTGTTCCTACTAGGTGTGGTAGCCCTCGCATGAAGAGTCTTCGAAACATATCGCATTGGCTACATCCACCAACCATCATCTCAACGATAATGTTTCTTGTGTTGCCCGGATGCAAACAGGTTACATAATAAGCAATATCACTATATTGCATATCTTGCAAATCAAATCATGCAACCGATTTGTTCACCAAGTCTCTACCAACTTTTACATTCCAGGAATGTGTATATGGAATTGGTATATGACGACTTCGGAATATGCAAGAATCGAGGGGGTATCTTCCTAAATTGTTCATGTTCAATGCATCATATTATACTCATTTCCCTTCATGAGTTTACTATACAGGTTCTCATAAAGGCTTTTATGAGGTAATATCAACACAAGGTCATATGTCATACTCCCTCCGTCCCAGAATAAGTGACTAAAAAATGACTCAACTTTGTACTAACTTTGTTACAAAGTTGAGTCATTTTTGAGTCACTTATTTTGGGACGGAGGGAGTACTTTCTACTTTCCCCACCGGGGTTTCTCTAAGAAAGTATATACGGCATATTTATTATCCTTTTAATTCTATGGATTTTTCTCATATCGAGTTAAAACAAACAATAAGCATTATATGTTGCGGCATTTTCTTCTTATTTTTTTTACTGGGTTTCAAGGAGTTTTGGCAACATATCAAACACTATACTCCTCATATTTTTCCCACAGGGTTTTTGGAGGAGCCTCTAATCAAGATGATGATTCTGGATGGACAAGTGTAGATTAGGGGGAGTGTTAGAGTTTAATTAACATGTGTTAATTATGGGGTAAATCTCCCCTTGTAACTGCCGTCTCTCCCGAACGGATGCCTCTTCATCGCATCCCTTCTCCTTGTGTAAATTCCTACAATCATCTAATGAAAGAGTCAAAGGATTCACTTTTCTCTCAACAATTTTGACCAGACCATCACATCAATTTGGAAATTACCATCTGTCCCTCCTTTCGCGGAAATTTTCCCTCGCTTGAATTTATGCTCCGACTGTCATCAACTAGATCGGAAGGGAAGCGCGCGCATTGCCGTCCAAGCGTCATGACCCGACATGTTTAGATTTTATATATACATCCAAAGAAAATTACAACACACTTTTAAGACTAATGAGTTTAATGTAGATCACAAACAGTAGAGATATAACGAAAACTTGGTAAGCAAAGAATACCAAGTCAATAGGATAATTAATTTGCATGCACATGACAAAATTTGTTCCAAAAAGACAGAGTGGCGGTGCCAGATAAAACAAACTAGTTTGCATCAATTTAGTACAAAGCAAAAAGATTCAAGATACCAAAAGCCTGAATGTTAATCTCCAAATTCCAGAACCATGCATCATCGAAAACATAATATAATTAAAATAGGAACACTTTACATATAGACCATTTTGTTATTTGTAAGAGATACACAAAATAAAGTCCCACATCAGAACATTCAGTAGCGTGACAAAATAAAAGGAGATTCATGTACATATCAGAACTGAGATTCTCCGAATCCCATGCATGTGTCGGTCATGAAATATATTCTTTATCAGAATTTTAAGTACCACAGTTGTTGGTGTCCTGGGAATGGGGGTACCCAGACCTGCCTGCCTGCGGCCCATGGTGTGGCTCCATCAACAGCCTGGTACGACCCAGCTTCAGCAACAACAGCTCAAGACCCTCGCGAGGGGTCAAGCCTCTCGAGGCGACGACACCAAGACCTCCCTGGGGGCGGCCTCACTAGGCTGGCTCCCGAGGAGCGGAGATATCTATGCAAGGCGCACCTCGTGAGGTTCATGTGACGTGAGCCATGACGACGAAGGCCAGGCGGGCGCCAGCGGGCGTAGTGCGCCAGTTTCCCCTTTGGTGCTAAGGAGGCAAGCGCAGGCGCGAAGTCCCGAGGAATCAGGCAATGGTTTCCATATCAGTGCAATGAGACCAAGGACCGCCAGGACGACAGGATGGGGGTCATCATGGAGCCCAACGCAGCGTCACCACCAGAGCCTTTTGCACGCGAAGACTACTTTTGTCAGGATAGCTTGTACTCGTTGCCCCCCTTCAAATCTGGCCGTTGTGGGATCCCTTCCCGCCTACATTTGGAAAGAGGACCAATGCCACTATAAATAGGACTTAGCCACCACCATAGAGGGGACGAATCAATTCCACCCGAACCACCTCACCAGCTCATCGAGCTCAAGAACACCTCTCCTCCTGAGGCTGTTCATCCACTGTACTAGTTCATCCTCAGCCCCTCGAGGCAACCACCACAAGGCTGGAGTAGGGTATTACACCGCAAGGTGGCTCGAACCAGGATAAATTGTTGTGTCTCTTGTTCCTTGGGTTCATCGAGCTAAGCCGTGGAATCATTGGGCAGGCGTACTGGGGGGAGAGAGTTCTTCGCACGCACCCAAAGTTCGAACCTCTCAAGGGTCTGCAGAACCCTGAATCCGACATTTGGCGCGCCAGGTAGGGGTGCGTCGGGGCCCCTCTTCTTCCAGTCGGCTCGCCATCGCCCCGCGGTTCCGATGGTTGATGATCCGAGGGCTCATGCCGAGCACTGGGTTGCCTAGCCCGGTCGGGTGGCATTGTCCACTCAGGAAGACCTCAACTCTGTGCTCCAGGTGGCCCACACATAGCCCAACGCCGCCAGACGCGGGCGGCGCGGCCCGACGCCGTCTGCCCTCGCGCCGCGGTGTATGAGCGCCACCACATGATCTTCGGGTTATGTCGCAGCGATGACAACACACACCCGTCAGGAGCAGGCGAACATGCGAGCCGCGCTCATCGTGGAACGGGAGCTGCTGCGGTGCAGGTTGGCGGAGGGCGGCCACGATGCATTGCTGGAGCGCGTCGCCGAATTGCTTTATGCTGCCTGCAGAGGTGCGGAGCCGTTCTGCTCCTTGCCCACGCCTCAGGTCGTGAAGGAGCCGCGCGCCGGACCCCGGCGAGCTCGCGCGCCCCCTGGAGCGTCAGGGGGATTCAACAACATCAGCATGGCCCCTGGCGCCGCCCGTCCTACCATGACTGTGCCGCCTCCAGGAGAGACAAGCACCAACGGACCCCCACAGGGCTGCGCTGGGACGTTACCCCACGACCACCAGGACCAGGCGCCGCGGCTGGTGGCACAAGGCGTGGGGCACTCAGGCAATGGCTCCGGCACAGCAACTGCAGACACCTACGTACCCCGCATGATGGACCTGGAGTACGCACCGGAGGAAGGCCCCAACTTGATCCCCAAGCCAGGATGGGCAGGAGGAAAGCCTGAGGCTGGGGCTTACCACGAGCTTCCAGGAGGCTTCACCGACCCCTTCAGCGACGGTGACATCAGGGTACAACCGATATCTCGGGAGCATGCTTACATTAACCATGGACTGCAGGTGAACCAGGCCACAACTGCGGCCGGCTACCCCAGGGCGATGGACCCGCTCCAGGCGGGAGCACCGCACTGGTTACCGCACAGGAGGGGCCCGGAGCCAGGGCCTCGCCTGCGCCGCATGGAGCAAGGCGTCG